TATCACATGCGCGGCATTCGCACCAGGTCCTAGTTAATTCAGTGTGGCAAAATACTTTACAATTTTCACACAATGCCACTCTTTGGATGTCCTGAACTACTTCCGCTCTCAGACATATGCTCGCGAGACGGACAAGACAATCGTATTTTTTCGCGCGCGGGTCATTCTACTGAGATGCGCAGGACAACTCATCTCTCGCAGGCACGGGCGTGGTGGGCCACGCCCACCACCGGGGTATGTTACGATGTATCGTGTCACAAGCTTAGTATGCTCTGTGGGTGGGTGCGTGCAGTGCGTACACAAATGACATTGCTTTGGTAGGGAGTCATCAGTAAAATCAATTTTAAGGCAGTTGGCACGATAAATCGCATATACACTGAGGATTGTAAGCTGGCTAACGGATTCCGGTGACTCGGAGCGCTGCGTGAAGCCTTTTCCGAGGGGGTACCTCTATAACGCCCTATTGAGCAACAACTTTACGTCCCAAACGCCTTCCTTGCCCGCCCGCCCACAAACGGACGACCGTTTCTGGTTTATTCATTCATTGTGAGCAATTAGAAATAGTAGGGATTGTTATGGAACGCAGTATGTGCATGGAAGATATCGGGGTTCAATATGAGGCAACGGTACTCCGGTTAGCAGGTTGTTATTGCAAGAGCATACGGGAAACTCGTCCGAAATCGATTTACAAGTCTGAGAACGGAGGCTTTTTCTTCGCCGGATTTTGACCGTTTCACTCCGTTCTTTCGCCATTTCCCCACTATACAGCGCCCTACTAGCATTTTAGGCCAAGTAGGAAAGCATCGCGTCAACTGCTTTTAATGTATGAGATGCAGCCAAAACAAAAGTTGAGGTTTTGAAAAATCTTCAGTCTGAACACTATTTAACAGTTCAGGACTAAGTTATCGAATACAATATGCATTACAATGACCTTAAATCGGAAAAATCAGGTGCCTTTGAAATGGAAAAATGCGCCGTGTGGTTTTTGGTTTACGTGAGATCCTGTCAAGATTGCGAAGTGCTACTCGCACCATTTGGCCAACGCCATTCTCCAATTTTTCCACATCTCGTGACTTAGTCAGTCTGATCAATGTTTTACAGGAGTTTGAGGTTGTTTGACAGGGGATAATCAGGTTACAGGGCGCTGACAAAAGTTGGCCGAGTATGACTTGTACAGTGCTATGTCATGACAGTGCCTTACAGTGGACCCCTCATCTAAGATTATGCGCCATTATTAGCGGAGCGTGGCGGACCGTGATTATCACGGGATTGGGTCAACTGTTTCTGCTTTGCACGAGTGAGGGAGTGGACATGAGAAAAGTTTCGGGTTATATGACTTTGAGTGCAGCTGAAGTAAGCTGAATGTTCCCATCACGAATAACGTAAACGAAAACAGCAGAGACATGCCGCGTCAGTTTAGGCATGGATTGCTCAGTTACGGCTATTTTGGGTCTAACACCCTTGTATGTACCCATGAATGAGCAACAGACATTCACTAATGTGCTCATAACCAGTTCACAAATGGAGATTTCCACAAACATTTTGAGCCGCTCAATAAAACTGTACAAAGCGTGAGAATCGTATCGCCTGCAACATCTCTTGTTACTGGTTGAGAAAAGCGATCAGTGTGTGAAGTCGTTCGGATGTTGCAATTGGTAAAGATCATCCACAACTGTTCTAGCTGAAAGTACTCTTGTAATCATAATAAATGTAATAACAAAGTTTGGTGCTGTTTGCCTTAGGGAGGAGATTCTATTAGTTCTTATAGATGTGGGGACCTATAAACCCCCATCACCAATTAACTAATACTAATTTCTGTTTTCAGAAATAGTAGTATGGGAGTCAGCGCAGCAACTAGAAGGAGGGAAGAGGCGCTCGGAAATTTACAACGGGGAGGGATGGTATAAGCCAAAATGAAACGGGAAAAAACGAACAAATGCCAAAAACCAGAAAAAATTTTCTCGCAGCTCGGAAAAATTTTTCTCGGCACAGGCCTCAGTATACTTTTCTGTGATCATCTGCGCTTCTCTAGGGCCGAGCCTAGCGGGGAAAGAATGATCCCTTCTCCAAGGCTCGGGGTTCGCGCTGCAGTCTAAAAATGACGCCCCTAAGTTGTCGATCAATACATCAAACAACCCTGTTTACCAATTTTGGTGAAAAAGATTGTCGCACCAAATTGGTAGGTATTGGCGCCATATGGCATCAGTGACAAAAGCGAATATCGTATCTATGACCAGGACGTGAACAACTGAAGGTGTTAACTCGATTAATACCTGGTTTCTGCCCTCAACGTATCCGCCTATAAGTTTTAGCCCTTTGCCGTAAGTAACCTTTCACATTGAGTAACCATGCGCAGCCAAGAAAAGAAGTACAAACGACATCCTTGGAATCAGCGTGAACAGCTCTATTCAGCATGAACTGATTTTATTCCCAAATTCAGAAAAACCTGCTCCCTTGATCTCTTGTCTTACCGATTAGTAGTACGGTATGCAGGCTGATCTACCTTATCAATGCCGTCGACCCCTCGTTTTGTCAACGTTGTCTGTACCCTCTCCATTGTGCGCACTCTCTCATCTTTTTGCCGGTCCCTCACTTTCGTTAGGGCGATTTTTATCCCACCGCTGATGTTCGACACCAGAGATCAAGGAATGTTCCGGGCAGATCAGGAGGAAAAGTGAAGATCAAGAGTAAAATTCACTCAAGAACGTTCTATCATGTGTACTATGAATGTGTGGAGGTCTGAACGCTGATTCTGGGGATGAGGCGCGTTCAAGACGTTGCCCACTTTCAAAGGAGTTATAGCTATATCTGTGAAAAGTTCGATCCACCTTGGATTATGACTACACCCGCTTTCTTGCCTGCTTTTTATGCCAAAGTGTCTAGGCAAGCGGTCAACAACTCCCGACTGTTGATCTTTTAGGGGTTTCCACCTAGTATCGCGACTCGAGCGATTTAGGTCGCGCGACTGCTTTGACGCACACCGATAATGATATAATGGACCGCTACATGTCTCACCCAAAGCGGGCTCAAGCCGAAGACTCGTATCCAAGCCTTCGGCAACTTTATTTACAAAAGCTCACAAGCCCACCAAAAAGACACTCAAAGAAACCAGTTAACTAGCAAAATGAATGCCTCCTACCCCCAAAAAGGGCAACGCCAAAAATTTTGTTCTTGGTCTTCAATAACTGAAGAATGTAGGCTGTTGTCCTGAACTAGAGTAATAATAGAATAAAGCATCCCTATTCGATAAGTCTGAGGCAGTTAGTGAGCCTCGCTTGTAGGTCAAACATCTCAGTCTTTTAGATTCTGAGGCGTAGTGAGCCTGACGTTTGGTCAACACATCTCAGTCTTTTTAGAGTTCCGCCCTCACAGTAGTGAGAGTTTATCTCAAAGCCAGCGGACTTTGCGGTGATGCGCATTGACTGCAGTGGCGCTCCAATGCTATAGACTGGAGCGCAGCCGTAGACGGGAGTTGCCACGGCGCCGGCCGCACTGTGTTTTAAGAGCAATGGGAAAAGAAGGGTGGACCCGCCTCCAACAATGTGTGTGCTCCGGATTCTTCCTACATACTCCCGAGCAGCTAAGCCGGTCACACGAATCGATAATCGTTCGACGCCTTATATAGCGTTGCACGTGCGTTGAGTGCAGTGGCGCGTTAACAAGCGTTACAGCGCGTCGACGCCAAGTCTAAACGCTGCCTAATATGACATAATCATAATTTTAGTATAGCTGGTTAAGTCTAAAATGACCACTAAGTGGCAAACGCTTACCTTCTGACTCACTGAGGATGATAACTGTTCGGATCACCGTTTCCACAATCACGGTAAGAAATCGCATATTCGGTTCCGTAAGCATAAACAGACTATCGCAATGCGGACAATACTGCCGGACGCCTCGGAATTTCACTGCAACATTTGAAAAATTGATGAGTGACGTAGTTAACTTCGCATTTTGCAACTCTTCCTTTGGTTTTGCGAAACTCATAAAAACCCAAACGGAGACGAGATTCCATAAAGAGCTAGCTATATAGAATTTTTCTTTGGAGCCTCATATTACGATAATCTTGTCACGTACATCTCCCCCCTCCCCTCTCGCTCGAAGCACTGAGTACATATTAGGAAAATAACTTACATGTATCAGAGATATAGATTGTGGGCAGGTTGAAATGTGGATTTGAGTGGAAGAAGAACGATGAATGATCAGCGAACAGATACGAATGCATTCTAAACGTAACGGAATCATTGCGACTTCTGTTTCTCAAAACCGAATCGCACTGTGGACTTCTACAGGTTGCAAATCTAAGGGTGCGTTTATAGTTTGCGACTTGATTGATTCGGTCGCTACTGTTGAGCGACTGCGACCGACACCGCTCTACCGCTAATCGTCGGACCATTGAACTTCTGGTTCACTTATATGCAGAATATAGAGACTACAGCTTGGATAAGACACCCAATGGAGAGGCAAATAGAAATTAAGTGAAAAAAATGGAAAATAAGAGAGAGGAAGCACGGCAAAAAGGTGAACAGCCAGATATAATTGAGTGAGATCGTTTCAGCGCTCTAAAGTGTAGTGGTCAAGCCCCGTCGGTGGCAATCGCTCGAATAAAGCGAGTCGCGAAGCATGAACGCATTCTCCGACACGGATTGTTCCTAGAGACTATAAGACAGATTTCGCAGTGAACCGCTGCTACCCCAAGCTTGCAGAAACCCCTTCCAACCGTTTGGTTTGAGCGTGTGCACCTAGCGATAGAGTCAATGTGGCGAAATGTACGCACGCAGGTAGAGCTGGAGGTGGTACAAGGTTACCATCAAAACTACTCCGATTCGGGAAACTCAACCAAATGCGCGGAATACGGTAGCAGCGGCTCTTTGGACTGCGAGTTCTTCCTTGTTTAGAGACCGCCATCCCAACTGAGGCTTCAAGTAAAAGATTCTTCGAACGCATTTATTGATTTGCTCTCCAATTTGAGATAAAAAGGTGGTCAGAAAATATAAAATGGATTACCGGTGTATGTCATCCACAGACGTTATGGTATGCATAGGAAGACGAAGCAAAAGAAGCCATGGCTGAAAGGACCAGTCCTGTGTCAACCTCGCCGTCGATTGGTAGAAGGCGTCGAAGAACCTTTAGAAGCACAAAAGTTCCGTTTTTTACAGCAGCTGTAAAGTAAGTTCACCTACTTTTGAAGGACATCATCATCTTTCCGCTCACGTCCTATCACCTGGATATAATCGCCCATGTGTTGATGCTCATATAGCTCTCGTGCCGCTGTAGGGAACATCTGAACACCATTTCATGAAATCTGAGTAAATGTTTGGATACGTATAAGGTCCATTGAGTTAGACACTGAGATCAATCGTGGAAGCGCTGTGAGGCATTTTGGGCTTTCAAACACGGCGCGAACAGTAAGCTAGGTGAATAGGTGGGCGAAAAACTAGAGTGCTGGGCGAATCGGTGTGTTTCAACGGCACACTCCGCGATAGTCGGGTGGGCGGAGGGTCAGACTAACGGACCATTTGCGCATCCCCTTCACCGCTCACTGATGACCCTGTTTTTTTGCTATAAAGGGAACGAGGTGATAATGAGAAGCCATTGTTGTAGATCCACCTGAGAGTTTTTCTTGAAATTTAAGCTTATTAGTGGCCTTTGGGCACAGCCCGCTGCCACTGTCGCGGTGAAATCATAGATTCGATGAATTCGATGATCAATTTTTTCAGTTTCCATAGCTTCTAAAGTGGAAAGGTGAGTTTATTACTAACCCAAACTCTACTCAAGCACACTCTGATACCATCGACTCTGAATGAATCTGAAAGAATGTAAGCCATTTGAATAAATGCCTGAAATAAGGCAAAATACAAGGAAAAGAGCATAATAATCGACATAAAAATAAAGGAAATCAGAGCCAGTACAATTCAAAATTGGTCGGAATAACTCACTTTCCACTTTGAGAAGCTTGAAGAGCTGAAAAATAGGAACTTGCAGTTGAGAATTCCATCGCAAAATCAGCTGAGTTCACCTTCACGCGATACCGCAGCCGCTTTCGCATGAACATGCAGCGTGGCTGTGCCGCCCTGATAGTCGTAATGATGAGGACTGTACATCTTACCTCGTCAAAGTTTTCTGGCACACCTTGAGACGTAGGGAAAGCGTCGAAATAGGTGACAGCAAAACGCCAGCTACGTAGCATTCGATTCGTTAGGTACGTGAGAGGATATATAATGAGTGACTTCCACGAAAGCATTAAAAAAATAGCAGAATTGGTTTTATTATTTCCACCTTTAATTTTGCGCATAAATATCTCTTGCGAAAAATCGACGATAAGGGTACCTGATGCTTCATGTCGAAAAACGCATAGATAACGGTGTTAAGCCGTCCGTAGACATGGTCAAACGTAGCCAGTGTTCGTGCTGTTTCTAGCACACCCGCAACACCAGAGCCATTATCGTCAACCCCTACAGTATTTAGTGATTAGTTCCTACTCGAGATTGGGCGCTGTTTGGCTCAGGGGGGATCCTGCACTTATGCTAGTTTTTTATTGGATTCTTTAAATCACACGTCTCACATTAGTGGGACATGTAGACTTTGGTGAAATGTAAACAAAGCTCACGCTATTGAAAACTTTACTGGTACCCACAGGTTTCTGTAAGGGGAACCGGCAGAAACCTGTGGGTACCACAGGAGATAAAACCCAGCGAAATGTCCCCATCAAGCCAAACTGCGTTAGAAGTTTCTCAACGGGAGAAATTATCAATAGGACTCTTGCATGCCACTTGAGCCATTTATGGCATAATTGAGGTGACTTACCCGGGGCTCCTTCTTTGGTATCATAATTTGCAGCTACAACGACGACCTTATCGTTAGGAGTCCCATAATGAGGTCCGCGTTGAATACTCAGCATGTTCACACCGAACTCTTCCTAGAATGAGTTCTTTTGATGTTACTATTGTAGTTTGCCATACATTTAGCCCTGGGTACTGGTCTCCGGCTTGACAGAAGCCCCAGTAAGTGCTCATCGTCTACAAAAGTGGGTGGTGTCTGTAGGACTGTTCCGGTTCTGGGTACACCAACCTTACTTGCTTCTCGAAAACTCAGGCTCTAAAAAAGCGAACATGCGGGAACGTAAGCTCAATGTTACACACCGGAGTAAAAGTGTAACAACGTTGGCAAGGAGTCAAGACCGTTCATAATACCCTTACCTCTACCGACCTAAGAGGGTCGATTATAGGAGCCTGAGGAGCAGTTAAAAGATTAGCAGTGTGTTCGGCCTCACTTAGGCTGCGTTCAGACTTCGCGACGGCAGCGCTTAAGTCGCGCGTTCGACGCGATCGATGCTTTCAGCTGCATTGATCGCGTGAGCGAAGCGCTCTATCGCGAAGTCTGAACGC